GAGTTGGTTCTTTGAAAGATTAAATAAAATTGATAAACCCTTAGCCAACCTTATCAAAAAGAGAAAAGGCTTAAATCCATGGAATTAGTAATGGAAAGGGTGAAATCACAACAGACCCTGTGGAAATCCAGAAGATCATCAATACTTACCTTGAGGAGTATAGACTCTAAGAAGATAGAAAACAGAAGAAGTGGACAGATTCCTAGGTACATATGAATGGCCGAAACTGAATCAAGAAGATATAAAATTCTAAATAACACAGTATTAGTTAATGAAATTGAAAATATAATAAAAGGACATACCAACAACAACAAAAAGCCCAGGTCCTGATGGATTCACTGCTGAATTCTACAAGAAATTCAGAGATGATCTAATGCCACTGATGATGAAACTTTAATGAAATTGATCTCAAAGTCATTCTTGGAAGCAAATATTGCCCTTTTACCGAAACCAGAGAAGGACTCAACCAAAAAAGAGAATTACAGGCCAATGTCCCTGAGAAAAATACATGTAAAAATCCTTAATAAGCTACTGGCAAGGGACAGGGGAGATGGCTCAGTAGGATAAGCACTTGACTGGCAAACGCAAGGATCTGAGTTTAATCCCCAGTTCCGCAAAAAAAAAAACAAAAAAAAAAACAAGCTACTGGCAAACAGGATGCAGCAAATCATCCAGATTATTCACCATGATCAAGTAGGATTCATCCCAGGGATGCAAGGATGGTTCAGCTTAAACAAACCAATAAATGTAATACACCAAATCAACAGAGCCAAAGACAAAAATCAGATGATCATCTCAATAGATGCACAAAAGGCTTTGGACAAAGTCCAGCAACCCATTCATGACAAAACCCCTACAAAACACTATAATGGATGGTCTTCATTTCAATCTGTTAAAGGCCATCTATGACAAATCATGAGCTAACATCATAGAAAATGGTCAAAACCTGAAAGCTTTTATTATTTATTTATTTATTTGTGTGTGTGTGTGTGTGTGTGTGTGTGGCCAGCTCAGCCCACCAGGGGGCGGGCTGGCTGGCATGTGGTGCTGGGG